TTTTTTTTTTTTTACTCATTGGTTGTTTCAAAGTATATTGTGTGATTTCTAAATATTTGTGAATTTTTTTTTTGTTCTGCTTCTGTTACTGACAACTGGTTTCATCCATTATAGTTGAACAAGATAATTCATGATTTCAGTCATTTAAAATTAGCCTAGGATATGGTTTATCCTGGAGAATATCCCCTGTGCACTTGATACCGATATGCCTTTTTTTCTGGATGGGTGGAGTGCTGTGTGTATGTCTGTTAAATCTAGTTGGTTTACAATGTTATTTAATCACCCTTTTTCCTTTGGATCTTTCATAGAGTTCTTCTGTCCGTTACAAAAAGTAAGGTATTCCGATCCCCAACAATAGTATAGAACTGTGAACTTCCCCCTTCAATACTGTTAATTTGAGGTAGCTTTTAAAGTCCTTATGCCTCTTTTTTCTCTCCAAGAATCTTGTTGTGTTCTGGTACTGGGATTCAACCCATGGCCTCATGTGTTTCGGGCAAGCAGTCTACCACAGAGCTACCCTCTCCCAGCCCAAATATTTAATCTCTTCCTTTTTGTCTCTTTGGCCCGCCTTTTGCCAAAATTATTTTCTTTTGTTGCAGGCGGCTGCCACCAATATTATTACTTGTAACTCCTTTTGGACAAAGCCTCTCTGGAAGCCTTCTCAGTCCTCGGAATGTTCTGACTGAAGCAACACAAAGACAAGTCCTGATGCCAGCCCTTTAGGGTACTGCCAGATAGGACTAAACCCACAAGCACTGTGGGAACAAGTTTCCTGTTCTTTGAGGACATGTTTCCTATTGTTCCCTCGAACAACATGCACCAGGAGTGTGGGCTGAGCTCCTCATAGCTACCACCTGTCTAGGGAGAGAGGATGACAAGTGAGCAGTGTAAAATGCCCCAGCAGTCGCTTACAATTAAGTAGCAACTTCTTCCTTCACCAAGTTTTTTCCAGGTTGTAATTTCTCTTATTGGACTTTGGGATTGTGCAAAAAGTTGCATCAGATCATTTTTACGAGCTCATTCGTTGTTTCTTTGGAAGCGTGGAGCCCTGAAATTCCTTACTCTGCCATTTTAGTGATGTCCACAGGTGGAATTTGGGGACTGATTCTGTGTTTTACATCTTGATAGGTCTGTGCATTTTAAAAACTCATTCAAATATGTACTCTATTTTTATTTTATTTTATTTTTGGTACCAAGGATTGAATGTGGGAACTTGTCCTTGCAAGACAGGTGGTGGAACCTCAAATACAGACTTTAGATCAGTGACTTTCATTCTATGGAATTATATTTCAATTAAAAAGTATGTTGGGGAAATCACTCTGGCTGCAGTGTGAAGAACATGTTGGTGAAGTCCACAGAAAAATAGGAAGCTATTGGGATTGGTTAGGCCAGTGATGATGGTAGTTTGAACTAGAGAAGTTAAAAGAGGAAGTGTACTCATCTGAGGATCACTGGATAAAATTAAATGCTACCATCAATTTCTCTAAAACTCTTTGCACTATTCTAGTGTAGCATCTCCTGTCGCTAGTGTCAGAATGTCCCTGGTGGTTGTAGAGCTATTCCAGAGATTCAAAATTTTAAAGATGATAATTCATGGAGGTATTAAAGGTGATAATTTGAAAAGTCAATAAAATTGGCATTTCCCTGTTATAAAAAAGTTGTGTGTTTCCTATGAGTATGTATCATAGAGTGCTGCTGATTGTATCCATAACTCAGTCGCTGAATTGTTTTATCACTCAGGTGAAGGCTGGGACTTGATTATGTTGCTTTTGGCCATTATACAGGCTTTATTAATCATATTGCTTGTTCTGGGTTAGAGAACAACTTTTTTATATACAAATTTTTAAGTGTGTGCAAATTTAAATAAATCATTAATACTGCATTTTGAAATTATTACCGCAAGTCACATAAGTTAAAAAATAATTTTCAGGGGCTGGAGATTTAGCTCAGTGGTGCCTTGCCTGCCTTGCAAGCGCAAGGTCCTGAGTTTGATCCCTGGTACCAGAAAAAAAAGTAATAGTAATTTTTAAAATCAGAATGGTATTATTATTTAAAGGGTTCTCAAATCAGAAAAGGTCAAGCAATTCCAAATCTGTCCCTTTAAACATGTTCCTGTCAAGTAATCAAAACCTTTGGGGGTGGGTTTGCCACTCACCTTTGGCCAATAAGAACACAGTGAGCCTAAATGAGGCAGACAGTTTGATGCTAAGAAAGATTTAAGCAGTAATACCACAGGCTCAGCTCCCCCATCCTTAGTCCCACAGGAAGACAGTGAACCAGCAGTGTCAGCCAAAGGATGACCTGAGTAGTGGGTTGCTGCATCATGGAGAAGCTGCTTCCAAACTCTAGTAAGCAGATCAACAGCCTGAAACCATACCGTAAGGGAGAAAGCAAGATGGAAAACCCCATGCCTCGCTGGAAAGAGGAAGGTGGATGACAAACAGCCACCTAACGGGCAGAGAAGTTCTGATAACTAGTCCCCACGAGACTGCTTGTCTCCTTGTTCCAGGGAATTTCATTAGTCTGTCAGGACATCTCAGCAGACACATTCCCTTACAATCCAGAATGCATACTGAAAATTAAGGGGACTGCATTTAGCTGTATTCATACTCAGGGAGGAAAATTTATGTACTTCAGTATGAATTATAGCTAATATTTAAATGAGTCCTTGATGAAATTGAGTGTTCATTAGAAGTCCTCCAGTCATGGTAATTCGGAATTTGACCACAAGGTGGCAGCTGACAAATAATCATCATCCATTTGTCAGTAGGAAAAAGCCTTCTCTTGAGGGATTAAAACCTGATTATCGTTAATTCCAAAATGTATATGAATTCTAACATTCTTTTTGCTATGTGTGTGGTACTTGGGTTTGACCAAGGGTCCTTGCACTGAGGTACATCTTCGACTTTTAAAAAAACTTAAGTTTTGAAACAGGGTTTTGTTAAAGTTAAATTGCCCAGATCTGGCTCAAATTTGCAGTCGTCTTGCCTCATCCTCGCCAAGTGCTGAGATTACAGAAGTGCACCACTAAAAGTTGTTTTAAGTTTCCATAGAATTGATGTGCAATAATTATTCTTCTGAACGTACCCTATTCTTTATTTTCTAGATTTAATATTTTTTTCCCCCAATACATTCAGCGTGAAATAATTTTAGACATTAGGGCCATTCATTTCCCAGTACTTCAACATGTGTCTCGTAGGAACAAGACTATCATTCTGTCTTTTAGAGCTGTTTTAGTTTCTTCCTTGTCTAATCAAGGAATACACATTAAATTCAGTTCTTTAATTTCCTTTAATCTAGAAGAGTATCTCTCTTAAAGTATGACAATAACATTTTGAAAGGTAAGGGCCAGTTATTTTTCTAGAATGTTCCACAATCTGTGTCTATCATCTATTTCCCCCAAACAAATGGGATTATTATGTATCATAGATATATACTGATAAAAAGATGGAGTGAATGATATTGTGGTAAAGAGCAAAAGCTTTAGGTTAGTAACCCTGTTCTCTTAATCACTGCAGTTTCTTCCTCTATTCAGTGGTAATGATATTAAATTCTTCTTCACTTGGTACATGTAAAAGTGTCTGGCATATAATAGATGAACAGTAAATAATACTTATGTTTTTTCTTTTGTTTTAGTATAAAGCATTAAACTGGATTTTCAAGTATTTCCTAGCTGGTAAAAGTTAATTCTTAAAGCTTATGTGAAGTACTCACGCAATAGTTATTCTGGAATGAATGACCTTGTGAACATAAATCTACACGATAAGTGAAAGTGCACGTTATCAATTGAGATATACACAGTTATATTTACATATTAAAATTACGTATTTCCTTATTTTCTCCACCTTCCGGGAATTCATTATTTTGGAGGCAGATTGTATAACAACTTCATTTACCTAATTTTGTTACCCCCGATTGTTGAAAGAGAAAGACAAATGGAATGTGTCTATTTTACAACCTGTGCAAATTGTTAGATTCTGAATTTTCAGAGAGGGAATAGACTGTATTATATTGACTTTTATAATTCCTGCTCCCGGAACTGTCTTTTGAATGTGATGAGATTTAACAAACCTTTGTGACATGAGTGACTGGCTCTCTCTCCTTTGTAGTAAAATGTAAACAAGGATAAAAATTATCACTTTAACTATTTAAGTGTGCAGTTCAGTGGCATGAAGCACATCCACATTCCAGAAGAGGTTTGCTGATAGCATCGTGCTAACAATGGGGACAAGGCAATCTCTGCTTCTCATTGTGGAGTGTCAGTTGAATCAGAAATTCCCTCAGGATACCTTGTTATTGAATTCCTGACTGTGTATTATTTACATGGAGAAATCATACATTAGACAACTAAATGGGAATGCTACTCCTCAGAGACTTGACCTTGTCAGTGGTCTCTGATGCCTAGTAGGACTACTGCAGGAAAAAAAAATTAATGAGAACGTTGCTAGGAGACGGAAGAGCCAAAAGCCCACGGTCTTGCAGGGGTTCCAGTGGAAATCAAGGCAATTGTAGCATGGTTTTGATCAGAGGTTTAATCATGAAACAGTCTCCTCTGATGAGCATGCGCATTTTAGTTATAATACTTTGCATTATTTTATGATTGTGGAGGGTTTGGGAGGATAATCTCAAGTCTATTTACTTCTTTCCATTGGGCTAATCCCTTCTCCGGAGCCCAGCTCATTTTCAAGCTGCTGCTGCCTTGCGTTGCTGTTTTCCCCCACCCCTTCAGTGCGACAGCCTAGGAGCTGCTGAAAAGACCGAAAGTACGCAACTGGTAAGTAGCCAGGAAAGCCTTCGTAAAATACTTATCGAGGCTCCACTTTTTAAAGCAAATGACACGTTTTGATGGAATGGAATAATACAGAACTGTGTAGGAATTTCTGTAGTCAGTGGCCCTGGAAAGATGGATTGAATTCTAAATATTCCTCGGTGACTTTTCTAGTTTAAAGCTTGCCTCTTAAATGGTGAGTTGCTAGAAGGAGATACAGACTCTAACCCCTGTGATTCTGGTAAGATACTTCCTAAAATAAGATGCTGTAGAGATGTTATTCAAGTGAGAAATTGGCTTTAGCTTCATGTTTGGATTGGACATGAAGAAATGGGCTGTGATTCAAGATGTTCTCAGATCTGGTTTCTTAGTGTGTGGCATGAGAGAAATATTATTTTGCGATGGAGAAAGGATACTGTGTCTCATGCTTCCTAAATTAAGAAAATTGTGTGACAAAATACCTATGTGGACTGCGTGTAATAATATTAAGAGCGATTGCTTCATGTATTGGATGGAAAAATTAAAATAAGTCTTTAGAATGAAAAAAAAGAAGTAGCAAATATTGTGACTGTATCTTTGTTTGAAAAATTCATTATGTTATTGGACATCAATTTATACAGTAAAGACAATATTCTTAGTGGCTTTTTTCTTTTTTGAAAGGATGTGAGAAGCATAGCAGAGATTCCTGTTGACACAGCTATTCTGTGTGTTTCTGGAATATGCCCGGAAATGCGTATGTTTTTATAGGCCAGTTTCTGCAAGAAGAGAGGAAAACAAGTGACATAGTATTTTAAAATACTTCTGTGGAATTCAGATTGTTTTGACATTTGAACAAGATGAAAGCAGAAAATAAACTAAATAGATTTTTGAGTTAGATGATAAAGCAGCAGTCAAAGAAGAACAATAAAGATGAAAAAGCTTGTTGAAAAGTATAGAGCGTGGGCCACTTCCTAAGTTGAACATGTCTGCTGGTAGCATGTTTTGCAGGGGACGGGAGAGAGCATGTTGAAGGCAGAGGGAGGGGGCATCAGCAGAGCACTGCGGCAAAAAGAGTGACTGACGCATCTAGGGACATGTGACACTCCAAGGAAAATTTCCAGGACTCCATCTTGTATAAGAAATTCTATACATACTAACATGCAAGTAACGCTGTAATCTCGCTGTGGTACATAATGAGTTCATCTTGCATAATCTACCGTTGGTCTATGTTGGTATTTAATCTTTGCTTTTTATTTATTGCCTTTGTTCCTAGACTTTCGTCTCTGTACTCCCACTGGTTTTATATGATTGTTGAAACATCTTCTCAAAAATGTTGTTTCCCTCTTTATTATACAAATAAACTACTTACCGTAGAAAATTTGGAAAGTTGTATAGATGACTATAAAAATCACCCGCTAATCCCATAACCCAGAGATAATCACTATAAACATAATTACTACCATTCTTTTTCCTCTGAATATATGCAAATATATGCATACAGAGATATATTTTATACAAAAGGAAGATTGTATGTACGTACATTTTTATCTTGCCTCATTCATTAACCAGACATTGGAAGGAATTCCTCATATTTTAAAATATATCACGAGAATGTAATTGTTTTGGATGAATAATTTTTGATCATACAGCAGTCTCACTAAATGTTCAGTTATTTAATATATATATGTGCAGTTTTTGTTATTATGAATAATTTAAGAAATATCTTTCCATATAAATTTCTGTGTGCTTTTCTGGTTTTTCTCCCTAGGATAAATTCGTAGACATGGAATTCGTGGATGAAATGGTATGAACCAGTTTAAGGTCACTTCCCCGATCTCAAGGCATATCACCTAATTTATTTATCATATGTGGTTACAACATTTTTTTCTAGTCATTGTTTGCCTGTTGATTTTCATCATTGATGGTGGTGATGTTTTTGACATTTTTCAGCTTTATATTTTGAGAAATCTACATCTGTCATCTACTGACTTTGTGATATATTTTCCTTTGAAGTATCTACCTGTATATGAGTATATTCACCTGTATTTCCCCCTAGTGATTTCATTCCTTCATTTGTAATTCATTTCCTAATCCATCTAAAATTGATTTTGATGTGTGATGCAAAGTGGGATCTAATTTTACTTTTTTCTATATAGGTCACCAATTGTTTCAGCATAACTTATTGAGTGATCTAAGCTTGCTTCTTCCACTGATTTGAAACGGCAACAGCTGTTCTCCCATTAGATAGGGTGTAGCTTTCCGCAGGTCGGCCATTTTCTCTCTTCCCAAGATGGTTACATTCCACTGTAGTCCTCTCACCTTCTGGCAGCATCTGGCAGCGTGCTGAAACATCACGTCTGTGCTTCTGCCTTTCAGGAGCCCTAGGCATGTACAGCAAAAGACAGTGGTTTTCAAACAGAAATTTCATTTTAAATGCTTGAGATGTTCCTTTGGGGCACTTGTGTTCCAAGTTAAAATTGAGGAATTGACTGTAGAAAACCACTGCTCCAGATGTGTTATTCCTCTTGGACACACCTGAGGGTCTGTGTGTTTAAAAGGGGACTCATGGCCATCCTAAGGCTCCTCTTTCAACCTCTTTGTTTTTTTTTTATTCCTCAGGTACTTGCAGAGTTAAAGCTGGCTGGATCGGTTCCTGGAATTTTCTAGAATGATATAAGGAAAATGTAAGAAATGTGTGAGGAGCAGAAATAAAAATGTTTGCCAAGCTATTGCTGACAGTAAGTAGTCTGATCTGGAGATTGAGTCCCAATCCTACTGTTACCATTTCTTCCAGATAGGGGAAACACCCCTATGGTCCCCTTCTTTTCGCTGCAGGTGGAAGGCTCAAGACATAAAACCCAGAGTCTTTTAGTAGGAGATGCTTAAATACTGCTGATAGAAATATTTGCCACTTTTTACACCTGCTGAGCCCCTGACTCCAACGCTGCCTTCTTTTACTATTGACTTCTGACCTGACCTCTGGCATTTACTGATTGTGGAATATAAGAACAGAGGGATGAGGGGGCGGGCTTCCTTGCCCACTGTTATTGCAAGAAACCCCTCTGACCCATAGGCACAGCCCAGTCATTCCAACTTGCCGCATTAGGTTCTGATTTGTTTCTGACTGGAGGCTGGTTTCCCAGGTAACAGAGCTCACCAGCGCAGGCGCACTGTTTCCTCTGCAGTAGCGAAATGCGAAATGCAGACGCGGGGCCAGGGGATAAGTATTGGTCCCCAGTGGTAGGAGTCACTCTGCAGGCATGACGTCAGTTTTTCTGTACAGTACTAAACTGACATCGTTATTGTGTTAAAACAAACAAACAAACAAAACCTCTGAAGGCTTTGAGCCTATTGATGGTTCTTCTCAAATCAGCTGCACTGGATGTTTTCAGCACTCATGGCAATGTCTTTCTGAGGTGAGGCCCTCTCACATTGGAAATGAGGGAATCTCAGGGCACCAAGGGAATCCATACGTGGTGGGAACAAGAAACAAGATTACCTATTTTGAAATCTCCACCACTTGTTAGTTGTATGATCAAGAGACAAATACTTATTCTCTCTGTGCCTCAGTTTCCACAGATGAAAAATGAGACTTGTAGCACCTTTAGAACAGTGTGTGGCTGCATAGTAACCATTAAAAAAGTATTGTCTATTGTTATTTTTAGATTTTAAGGGAGACTTGCCTGGAAAAAGACTTGCGCCAGCAGTGTACAACTCACTTTTTAATGCCCACACTGGTCACCTCCAGCCACAGACTTGCATCCAAACTTGCCCTAAACCACACCGACACACCTCAAGGCATAGCCATAAGTGTTGCAGCAAGAGACTTTCTCCGCAGCACAAGGACACTTCCCACATCACTAGATTCTTCCAGAGAGGCTCACGGGTTCCCCTCAGCACAGAGACCCACCTAAGCGACATTGAACTGTCACACGGGACAGAAGCTTGTCCTGCACAGACAATCCCAACCTCACAGACTGTCTTCATATCAGTCAGACTCTTCCTTGGACGCACAGACATACAAACTCATGACCCGGAACATGGATTCTCTCACAGCCTGCAGATACTCCCCATAGCACCGAACACAGACTGTCACAGCACGGAGACTCTAGCACACGCGTCACATCTCTCCACAATGCAGACTGTCCCCTCAGAGTGCAGACTCACGACACAGCTCCAAGACCCATTCCGAAGACTGCAAAGACTCGCCTGTGAGGGACACTCACCCCACGGCACAGCATTCCAGCAGGACACTGACTCACCCGTGCTGCCCCACGCAGATTTACCCCACAAAACGGGGCTGAACCCATAGTCCAGACAGTCCCTGCAGCACTCAGACAAGCGTAGCCAACTGCACAGAGATTCAGCTATGCAACGTGCAGCACATACTGTCCTTCAGTTCACCCATGCCTTTGCCAACAAATGCAATGGGCATGCAGTGGAAGGACGCACTGTATAGGCATTCTTGTCCTACTACATCTGACCTCCCCTCGGTCTCACCCTCACCACACACCCTATGGCCTGCTGTCACTAGAACACTCCCGGATTCCTCAGACACACTGTCATACATGGGCATATGTCACACATGACGCTGCAGCACATACGTGGGCACCACAACGGACAGACTTGTTCCACAACACACATGTGTGCTCCAGGAGCAGCTCACAATGCACTTCTCCCTCAGTCTTCCCACAGCATCTATGCAGCCTCCGACACGGAAACACCCTGCAGCACGATACTCCAGCCCCGTGGTGCTCACAGTGCCCGCACTTGCCACCCAGCGTCATTTCCTCAGCTTACAGTGGCTACACAGTGTGGACATGTGCTCCAAAGCACCTAAAACCAGTTGAAGAGTTTTGCTTCGGATTTACCAGAAAGCACCTCAACTGGTTTCCCTGCTTGCGCTGCTGCCCATAGTGCAAGCTGTGCGCAGGGCTGCACCAAAATGCAGCTTCTCCCATCAATACACTGACTCTTCTCACAACGGCTTCACACTGAGACTCACCCTTTGTGCTCGGAACATGGACTTATGCCGCAACACTTGAACTTGCCTTCAGGGCACACCCACAGTACTTACACATGCCTTAAAATTCACAGGCATGCCTGTAAACACAGATTCATTCCATAATGAACAGGATCGCATCACAACACGGACCTAACCTGGAGCACAAATCCCACAGTGTACATGGACGTTTCCCACCGTGTAGACTCGAAGCACACATTGCCCTTCTTCGCACAGATTTCCATGAGTGGACAGTCATGCTTTACCGTACTGTTGAGCTACAACTCTGGCATGCGACAGAGATACAGCTTTTGCAATGGTTAAGAGCAAGGCCTCTGGACCCAGACCACCTGGGTTTGAATCCAGATCCCATCCCTTGCTAAATGTGTCACCATGGGTAAGTATATTTCTTTGTTCTTCAGTTTGTTCATCTATAAAACAAAGATAACAGTAGTACTTAATTCAGAGGCTTACTGTGAATAATAAATGAATTAAGATATGGTAAGTGTTTAGTATGGTGCCTGATATATGAGAAGTATTATTGGAGATGTTAATCTATAGTATAGCTATACCCCTACCCATTGCCACCATTTTTCTGAAATGAAAAACCTATCCCAAATGCCTTCCATCATCTGGCAACACAAACATTTATTGCATAATATATAAACTCAACCCAGAACATCTAGAAAGACTCTACATAACACTACCATAATACCCACAAGAGCATAAATAGAACCCTAAGCTTAACCAGTATTCATAACATACAGAAGTGCACCGAAATGAACTCTGCTGTATAACATACAGATTCATTCCACGATACGCAGACCACCTCAAAACATTCAGGGTGTATACGCAACACTCCACAAGGCATAGACCCACAACTCAATATATATACATGTGCTTTGACCTCGGAGATATGTCCTCTACCACTCACACACACACCCTCCTGCACATAGATTATTGCCCCCTAACATGTAGATTCTCCCGCTACTCACAAACATGTCTCTAAATGCACACTATCACCTCACAACAGGTACACATTCATCCCACAACATGCAGACTTCTGTTAAAATACCCAGACTCACACAAAGCAAAGGCAGGCTCACAAGACAAAAACACATCACAGCTCTCGGACTGGTACAAGGCAAAAGTTAACTTCCACCTCCCTAGGCACAACTTATTTGGTCCATGATGTCTAGTTTCTCTCTCTGGTGGGAAGCGTATACTCAGAGCTCCAGCTGTCTGGGTTCAAATCCCACATACGGCATTACAACTTTTGCGACCTTGAAAAGGTTTCTTGATCTCTCATCTGCAAATTAGGAATAATAAAAATACAACTCTTAAGAGGAATAAATGTGTTAAGGTCTAGAAAGTGTTTAGAAGAGCACCCGGTAAAGAATTCGTGTTACTGATGTTAGCTGATCTTCTTCTTGTTATTGTTGTTTTTACTACGCAAGGAACTGGAACATAATGGTAAGTGTCAACCTGAAGCAACTAGAAACACCCCACTGTATATTGACAATCCCTTATGAAGCCTCAGATCCCATCACGACTCACCCCGTCATTACTCTCTCCATTCACTACCTGTGTTCACTGCACTTAGCCCACAACTCCTAGAAGCATCTTCCACACAGTGCAGTGTCTGCATAACTGCGGGACTCATCACGTAACACTTAGACACACGCTGCAATGTGCAAATATAGCCTCGATACAGAGACTCGTCCATGGAAAAGCTCATCTTCAACTAAATGCTTTCTGTCGTACATGTGCTTGCTCCACAGTATATGAAGCATGATTGAAAGATACAGTGTATGTTTACATTTAAAAATACAGTAAAAAACCCATCGCCACGAATCACTTTCAGAATACTTTGGCTCACTTCACACACTTATCCCACCTCTCTTGCCACTTTCTGAAGTAGTCACGGAAGCCCTCCCTTATGAGTGATCATCATTAGTTGTGTTGGTCTGGCTGCCTCTGTGGCCCTAAATTAAACACATTTACCTTTCTGGTCATTTTGACTATGGGGAAGAGCCAGAAGTCTAAGGGTGCCACATTTGATGAATAAGGCAGATGAGGACACACAGCAATCTTTTTACAAGCCTGCCTTTCTATTGCATGGAGCTCAGCAGCAGCATTCACTGTTTTTTTCTTAATCTCAGCTCATAAAGACATTTGTAATGCTCATCCCAGAACACCACATCACCTCCACAATGAAAAGAATTCACTAGAATTTCTAGAAACAATCCACAACACATAGACATATCCAAAGTACAGGATCACAGCACATAAACTTCACGACAGTAACCAGACTGGCTTTACAACACACAGAAATGGGACATGACCCACAACACAGATTTTCCCTGTGACATACATACTTCAACAAAACATTGTCTTGCCTATATAAGAGAAGGATTTGCCTCCTGAATAAGATATGTTAACACACATTGACACCTTAAACATGTCATAATGCACATATATGACTCATAACACACACCCCTTATCATAGTAGTTTGACTCAAGACTGTCAGAAGATCCCCAACAACATATAACGGTAGCCACAAATCAACAGTCTATCCCTGTCGCACACATGGATTCACCACACAAAATAACTTCCTGTTATAACTTTCCTCAGAGTAGCACATTCTGTAAAGGAGTGTCTACACACAGAAAAACACAATGTGCAGACATATTCTGTAATACACAGGTTACTGCAGAAGAACAAGACTTGCCTAGGAGCACCAAGATTCACTCCACATCAAACAGGCTCACACCCCAAATACGAAACTAGCCCACTGGTCACTGGATAAAACCATAATACAGAGACGTGCCTCACAATCTACGGGCATACACAGGTTCTGGCATCAATACGCAGATTGGTTCTATGATACACTTTCTTGTCTCTAAGAAACCTAGGCTAGTGTACAAGAAATGTTGACAGATACACATAGAACCCAAAACGCAAAGACATATCCCACTTTGACCAGCCTTGCCCCATACTGTCCAGACTTATCTGAAATACAGAGATTTATCCTTCCATGGGCAGGGTGACCCACCATCACTGAGGGCAGCTGCAGAATGTCCCAACAGGAGCCACAATACACAGACGTGTCCTCAAATTCTTCCCACAAAACAATAATTCATCTCATGAGACATCTTCCTCCACAACCCCAGCACCTTCAAGCACATATAAATGCTAAACAACAAGCACTTTTTATGACTACAGATATATGTTACAATACTAAGACTTGCTGTGATACACTTATCCATGTCCCTTGCCAAACAAAATCACCTCGTGATCCCCAAACATTTCCAAGAATTTAGGGACATTTCTCCATAATGCATACAATCCCCAGACAACATAGACCGGTCATGAATTAGTTGGGATTTTTATTCCATAGCAAAAAGATTTATCTGTGAGCATACCGAAATGTTGAGAAATAAACATAAAGCCCCTTGATGTACAGACATGCTATCGATCCCTAAAGTCACTCCGGAATACTCTCACTGCAGTGCATTGACCCTGAGAGTCACTTTAAGACACTCAGACTAGGGCTGGGGATTTAGCTCAGTGGTTCGGCTCCCTACCTCACAAGTGCAAGGTCCCGAGTTCAATCCCCTGTACCAAAAACAAAACAAAACAAACAAAAGATATTCAGACTAGCTTATGAGATCTGGACCTACTCATAAAGCCTTCTTTGCCCCATAGCACCCAAACTTATCTTGCAGTAGCTAAACTGACCTATGTCGGCCCGTCCTGTCGCATAACTAGACTGGCATGAAAAGAAAGGCTATCCATGCGACATGTAGAATGATCCCTACAGTATTTGCTTGTCTCCACAATACTTAGGCTTTCCTCACAGCACACATAAATGCTGGAAAACAGACTACCCCGAAACACCCAGATATTTCCCCATAACACTTGAGATTGGCTGCACAACACCCAGAATGACTGTGCAAAACTACAAAACGCAACCCAACAAGCACACATCCCTTGCAACACAAAGGCATACCTTCCACATAGGATGCTCTATAACATACAGTCTCCTGGTGACAGACTGATTCCATAAGTACTTGCCTCATCAACATTAAGACAAATCTTAGAACACATGCAAATTGTGAGTAACACACAGAAAAATACCTAAGGCCCAGATATATCCCACAGCACCTAGGCTTGGATTCACCGTGGATATCTCGGTTCACCTTCAAACTCTTACACCAGCTCTACAACACCCGCCTTGTGTCACAAAACCAGAAACATCATCTGCTACTTGCCTGCCAACCCAGGTTTGCCCTATACCATTCACACTGACGCACAGCCCAAATAATCCTCATAGTCCACAGACTGGCCAGAAAACCCCATCTTTTTCCCTTCACAACATCAAGACTTGTCCGGTAACACATAGAAACAGTGGACAAAACAGAAAACTCTACAGTGCATAGGAATTCCTCATAATAAATATGCAGACTCGCTCTGTAAGATTGGGCCAACAACACAGAGATAATACCCATAACAGATGTCTTCCAAAATCTTTTAATCTCACAACATGCAGAGTGTCCCCATAAACACCTCTTGTATTGACTTTGCGACATATGAGGGTCACAGAGCAGAGAGATAATTAAAAATAACTCCCAAACACAACACTACTCATCCAGACTTGTTACATGATAACAGACTTTATTCCCTGACACACAGATCTACACAACACCAGACTATTTCTATGAAATCACTTCTTGCTTCTACAATACCAAGATTTGTTTAACAGCACAAGTCTGAAGTACTAGAGAATGCCTAGACAAAGCCCTAACACATAAGCATCACCCAGATTCATTTCCCAACATCCTGCCTTGCCAGAGATCATCCAGGCTGCCACTTCTCCCAAAGCCCAGACTACCCAGATCGGCCCCATAGCACAGTTCAGTTCTCTATAACATGCTCTCCGCACATGACAGATTGACCTTTCTGAAATCTTTCTTTTGCAAACCAAATATTTCCCACTGCTCTGACAGAGATCTTGGACAGCATTCAGATAAAATCCTCACATTATTTGTACCTACTATATTCATCCACATTCCCTCTATAGGCCAGACTCAGGGTAATACTCAAATCTCCCTCCATGGCACCAGTCCTTGCTCATTGCCAAACCCAGATTCACCGTACAGCTTTAATCTAGCCCCATAAAACCCACATGATCTCAAAATACCAGACAGACTTCCCATCACCCAGCCTAGCCTTACAGCAGCTAGACACGCCCCACAGTGCAAACCAGCCCCACAACTTTCGAAAATGTCACACCTTCTCCCAAATACGGAATTGTGCCAGGCAGGACCTCCTACACCCAAACATGAAAACTTGCTTCACAACACACAGAAAGAATGGAAAACAAGCAGAAGGATAGGTAGATACCAGTGCTCACTTCATATTGTGGTAACTCCCAGAGTAAGATCTGTAGTGGCCCCACAGTCCATGGACACATCCTGCCGTACACAGAAGTGCCCCCTAAGACACAGGCTGTCTCCACCACACAGCTGCTAATGCCTCCAAATCCCCTAAAGCACTCATATTTAACTTACAGAACACATACATGCCACACTGTCCAGATATGCTCCACTATTTCAAGGTTTGTCGTAAGATATCCATACGTACTGCATAGCACAGAATTGGCTCACGAGCCCTTGTTTGTTGCCAAATCACTGAGATTAACCTGAGCAGCACACAGGCAAACCGCCCACCTCCACTCCCAGCATGCCCTGTGAAACAACTACTCACATTCGTTACACAAAAGCCTTTACGTGTAAAGCTCAAATGGGATGGACAACACATACAAGTCACACAACACACAGACATACCCATGACTTGGATTTACTGCAGAATACCCAGATTCACGATCAGACACACTCACTAGCATAGATTAAAACACAAACACATGACCCAAAATAAATAACACAACCCATGGACATGTTCTATGACAGGGGCACGCTGTACAGTCCGCAGACCTGTGCCGCAATGCTAACACTTTCCCTACAATGCAAAGCAATTCTGGAAAATGTACAGTTAAATAAAAAGAAACACATACACACATACACACACACACATATGCACACGGCCCTTAGATGTGCCAGACGACATCCACACTTCCCTTGTTTCATATTTTCCTTTAATAAAATTCAGATTGGCCCCAGAACATACAAACCTACCCATACTCCACGAAAAATGGGCATATCCATTATGTACACATATTCTATGCAACGTAGAGTGACTTCACAGAATTATACGATAATGCAAACTCATAACGGACAACTCACAAATCTATCCCATAGAACAAAGATTCACCCCCACACGTACGGACCAACCACACATTCCATTTGCACCGTACATTTGCACTCAGTTCAAAATACATAAACTCAATCCAGAACATAGACTTGCCCTCTTAGTGTGGATTCATAACTCACAGGTGCCCATAATACCGAAGCACACTTTGCATATAGCACAGGCCTCACTCATAACTTACGCACACTTCCAAACTGCACAGAGAATTCTATTACACTAATATTCCATCCCATGTCACAGCACCCCAAATTTCAACAAAACACACACTTAATCCAAAATATATGGCTTTTCCTGAAGCTCCTATGTACATTTCTCAGTGCATAAATACACTTCACAAGACAGAGTCCTCAGAAAAACACAGCATTGCATAGAAACTTACAAACATTTCTCAGATCACACACTCATAAAGAATGCACCCAGAATAAACGGTTACTTCCACCGTCGTATAGATTTGCCTCCTTCACCCCTGGCCCCTGCCAGCATAGATTTGTCTAGCAGCTCTAAAACACACCATGGAAAACAGGAAAACAGACTTTCCCCACAATTCATGGAGCTCATCCAGCCTTGCATTCATCCCCCAACATACAAAATCACCCCATACACAGCGTTATCCTACAATCCAGACACTTGTCTTCAAAGCATGAGATCACCTAATAATGCTCCCAAACTGCCAAATACAACCCCGAACACACTGACATGCACCACAACACCAAGAAACACTTTGTAACATCCATATGAACCCCATAATGCCTGGGTGCTTCCATAACTTCCACACTAACCAATAGCCAGACCAACTTAGTATGCCGCACATGCTTCATGACATACGACTCCTCACGCATCCCAGGGGACCCTCCATCACAATGTACAACTGTACTTCACACAACATAAATTCACAGAATGCCAGCATGTGCTCCAGATTGTAACTAATGCTACCATTACACCTAGATTTGCTTCAAAATTCAGTCTTGCACCAGAGAAGTACAGAAATGCCTCACAACGCCTTCAGTGAACCTACAATAAAAGGACTCAACTCCACCATGCCTAGACTCACCTCCTAACATGGAGAGATGACTTGTAACCCACAGGTAAGTTTCACAGAGCAAGTATCTCTACAATGCACAGCCTTACTCTACAGTGTAGGATTATCCTGCTGCAGATCCCAAATATCCAGCCTCTCCACGAATTGTCTTGGTACTTACACTAAAGAATGTCTTATGTAATGCACAAACTAGCTCCGCAGTGCATAGATACAACTTGTAATAGACAGATCTACCTACTGACAGAAAGACTTCCTCACAAACACAAAACTACATTCTAATGCACACATGCACCTCAATTTTCCACATTCTGGGATGCAAATACTCCGCAAAGAAAACAGTCCCCTCCACACACAGAACCATTTGAGGACTTACAAAATTGGCTCAGATATACTCCTTACCAGGCATGCCTTTTGCAGCACAGCCTCACCCTTCGCACATTCTCTAGACACAGTCTGCAGTGTACACACCCAGTGCACTAGGGCAAACATTCCAGTGAAATGATGCATCGTGCAATGCACCAATGCCTGGGAAATTCACAGACACTCTGCAGAGTCCCAGCATTGCCACACTATTTACACACTTTCCCTCACATACAGCCACACCTCGAAAAGCCTCAAGTGAAATCACAACATAAAGACTCAGCCCTTGTTGTTCTTCCCAAGATGCACTGACATGCTCTCTGACACTCACACTCTCCTACAACACCCAGAATCTTGTCACAATTTCACAGCACCACACATCTATATATTACTTGTAACACACAAAAGTGCTCATGAAAACGAAATACAGCAAGCCCCAAAATGTGCAGGCTCGCTCCAAAACAGAAAGGCACACTCTGTGCTGTCGAAACATACCCCACCACAAAACCATCACTCAGCCCAAAGACCCACACCTCAGTACACAGTTACACAATGGTGTATCCCACAGCATGAAGAATTGCATCTTAAAGCAGAGTGGACTTACCGCACAAATACAGCTCTGTCATACCCTAGACTTGGGCCCAGTCCCCCAAACTCTCTTTCCAGTGTGAAGACCTGTACCGCACTCCATCTGGAATCAGTCTGTATCATACAGACTTGCCTCCTGATACACAGAATTGGACTACAACCTCCAGAAATGCAGTACTAGGTTCACAGTACACCTGATGTGCTTTACCACCACCTGTGGCCCCCAACACAAAAATTCACATAAGCTCTCCTTAAAACACATTCTAAAATCCATACATCGGACGTAAGACATGGAAATCTGTTATAGAATCCCTGAGATCAACCCGGGAAACAGCGGCACCCCGTGACTCCAAGATACATAGCGCAGTACACAGACTTCCCTGTATAGACTGCAACATCTTGACTTGCCCTACAATGTGAAGACATTTCCACAGTCAGTGACTTCCCCAGCAGAGCACCTGATTGCATCTACAAATTTAAGTCATAAATTTACATCTTAGAAAAACAGTCTATGATGTGTGATTACTGTAGAACATCAAGTCTTTTCATGTAACAAAACTCAGTCTATTAATTACGTCCAATTCTCAACAGCACATTGATTTGTTCCTCAGAGTCTGAAAAGAGGACCCCCATGCTCACGCAGACTTGGTGAGTGACTTCACTTCTTTGAGTCTGTTTACCTATTTGTACATGTGAATAAAAAAAACAAAGCAACACTGTCTTTTAGGCTAGTCGCAGAATGAAATGAGAACCTTTTTAGCAGGAAGCTTGGCTCAGAACACAGCCTTTTGAGGCGCACGTGCCTGTTTCCAATCAGGGGTCCACTATTTACAGGTAAATGCTGCTGTAAAGTGCCATCCAATGGGAAATCAGGCCAGGAAAAACATTAGTGTGTCCTCATCCACCTTGCTGGATCTGCCCGCAAATCAAAATGATCGTGAAAGGCAAATGATTTGAATGGATCCAGGACATTAAGGCAGCCATGACAGTGCAACTATATACACGAAAGAGGACTCCAGAGCTGCTTCAGAAAGTGGAAAGAAGGATGGCAAAAGTGTGTTTAAAGTGAAGGAGAGTATTTTTATGGGGATTAATAGCAATGTGTCTTTACCATAGTAAATTTTTAAATTTAGATTTTCACTGTATTTGTTGGTCACACCCCATATATTTAGACAAGTATGTGTGTGTCTAAAGAGAGACACACATTTAGTATAGATACATACGAATGCAGGTACATTTTCCCAAAGGCATGCATTTACATATAGACATCTAGACACAGACCCAAAAATCTGCACAAAGGTATACATGGGCAAACACATCCATAGTCTCACACTGACTCACTTGTACGCAGAAGGACCCCACCAAGTTACACAAGTGGCCAGAAATACAGGCAAGTGCACAGAAACAAAGCATGTGCACAGAGACAGGGAAGTACACACACTCATGCCCATATATGCGCACACGCTGACGGACACAGAAGCTGGCAGAAACTTATGTACAGATCTGCAGACATGAAGAATACTGCACGGCTCTACAGATACACATGGATCCCCAGAAACACGCGTCTGTACAAATGCAGAGATTCGCAGATATGCACAAAAGCATGTGTGCTATTAGCCTATGCTCACAGGATGTGTGCAACCATGCCGAAAGAGACAAGCATTACCTTCACAGGCACAAGTTTGTGCAGACAGTTGTGCGTAGAACAGTGTATATGCATGCAAACATAGACGAGCGTGCAGACCACAGAGACATGCGCAAACCCAGGAACAGATACATAGATCTCTCTCTCCGTGTATGTATCTCTCAGGCATGCCGAATTCCCACACATACTGAGCCCTTACATGAACATCAGCATTAATATCTACACACAGACACACAGATGCGCTCACTCGGATTCATTCAAACACATTACTTTACACACAGGTTTGTACTCAGACACACATGCCCCTGAGGGTTACACGACCATACGCATGCAAAGAGATTTGAATGAGCACATGGATAAGCACCGAGACGTAGATAGGTGAATATAGAACAGTGGTGGTGGAGGAGCTATGGCCCACGTGCCGCAGCGAGCTGTTTGTTATCAGGGAAATCTCTAAAAGGTTCACCACAAGTAATACAGATAGTCCCAGACATAGATAAGAGCATTACAGGAAATAATGTAAAGATCAAGACATACAAATGCCCAGCAAGACAGGAGGACATGTGCATGCAGTAGTTCACACAGATGAACATTTGTAGGCAGCGAACGTGAGTACTGAACATGTCCAGACAGACACAGATACTACCCTACAGGCATGGATGCACACAGAGATAAATGGACCAGGGGACACCGGCCTGGTCCTACAAACAGATTTTCCTATGTACTAACCCACTTAGGTGATGGTACATTCAAAAACATTCTTAAAGGCACATACACACATGTAATTACATGCTGTGTAATTGCACTCTAATAGTTACACACATAAGTGCATGTGCAGATCTACACTTACTTAGGTGCAGTGTGTTCTCACAGAAATGAGGCAGATCACATCCTAGGCAAATAACACAGCCAGACGTAGTAAGAATGTGTGTGTGGATAGATACACATGAAAACAAAGATGATCCCTCATGTATACAGGGAGACTCATATATTTTTAAAGGGGGCTGTGACTTCTAATGTGCTTTCTTCTTAGTCTCTTGGGAGAGTGAACATTACGTCCCGTCAGCTAACTATACTGTGTAAAGTACATGCGGAAATTGCCAAAACTAATTCTAGAAGGTATTGCGATCACGTGTTTTGTACACACACACACACACACACACACACACACATTACTGCATGTAATGATGATGACTTGCACAAAATCAGAGCCACAGGTCTCATGGAAGCTCTGAAATATAAATCTGTGCACAGCCCAGCACAGAAAGACCCACAGGCACACCTGCCCACTGCATCATCACACTTTAGTAGTGAGATATAGAGCTGATGAATTTCAATACAAAACCAAACCTGCATTTTCATTCCAGCTTTATCACTTAGGAGCTCAGTGGCTTGGGACACCTTTATTGTTTTGTCATCTGTAATGTGGGACTGATCTTTGTTTCAAGATCCCGTGAGATGAAGTCCCGGGGATGTCATAGTCGCTCCTGTTAAGTTATATTTATTTTTGCTAAAGACAACCTGCTTAGCTAGATAGGGTTTGCTTTTTGTGGTTAAACTGTATGGTTGTGTCATAGAGATATTAACTTTATTTTCAAATGTACCAATAATAATTTGTTGCTGTGTTGATGAAGAATAGATTTATGTTCGCAAACAAGGTGATTCCTGAAGTTCTCAGAATGATGTTAACTACTGTCCCTGGTGAATGGGAAGTCCTGAAACAAATGTTTTCTGATTTTGTTGTTACTGTCCTTAGTCATCGTTTCCTTTTTGTAGGAGGAGCTAGAAGATGGAGAAACAACACGGACCAGGAGAAAGAGGGCTTCGCCCCCGGTACACACTGCCATCTAGTGACTACATTCAGTAAGTACAGTATTAGCGCATTTCTCCAAACCCTCTTGGAACTTGACTCACTTCGAGGTTAACTGCCCTGGAGAATAAACTAGACGATATCACGCTGTCGTGGTTTTTAATCTATCCTGAAATAAAAATAGTAATGAAATGAAAACTTTATTTCCAAATTCTATCCTTCCCCAAATATCCTTCTGGGATTCACTGAGACTGTTTACTATAGCAATGGTCTTCACATTTTCTAAAAATTTTGCCACCTAGTCACTTTGAAAAAGAATTTACCACATTACACGCCTGCTTTGAAGTTAACATCCGAAATTTAGTATGAGCTTATACGTTTGCTGCTATTATTTCTAGCATATTCTTAATATGTATGCTTTTAATAAAATGATTTAATCACATTTGGCATTAGTCAATGAAATAAAAATACTAATTTGATACTCATTGTTAATTTTAAAGAAAAGCAATGAACAAGGTATTCAATAAGCAGTCAAAAGTTTTATGATTTTTCTATTTAATCATTCCATTCAACTTTTTTACATAATTGATTTTGATGCAATATATTTTTATGTTTAAAGGTCTTTTATTGATCTACCACACATCTCAACAGAAAGTATATAATGATTGAAATGAATTTTCCTGGGATTCTCAGTCTTGAGTATTAAAATGTTATCACTAAGTTATTAATAGTATATAGCTGATCGGAAGCATATAAAATATTATACATTTTGGTAAGTAGTTCATAAAAATGAAAAGTAGATTTGGTTGGAAACACATCTTTCAAATGGATTTAACTTGATTCTTCTCCAATATTCTTTCCTTTGTCGTTCTTCCTCTGTTTTGGGAATTGTACCCACAGCTGTGTGGATGGCAGGCAAATACTTTACCACGGAGTTAAATCACCAGCCCTTTTAAGTTTTCCTTCGAGACAAGGTCTTGCTACTTGTCCAGGCTGGCCTCACAATTGGGATTTTCCTGCCTCAAGCTCCTTAGCATCTGGGATTTCAGGAATAAACCACCATGTCTGGTTTATTTTTCAGTTTTATAGATAGAAGAACTCAGATAACTTTGTTCCTATCAATAAGTAGAAAGGAATGAAATGAATGTCCAAATCACAGATAAAAAAAATCACACAGTAACCTATCATCAAAAATAATTTAATGAACTTTAATGAAAATTTTTAGTTTTTAACAGATCACTCAATTACGTCTGTCTTTAATACTAAAAACAAAAAACAAAACAAAATAACTCTCTGATTTACTAAAGGATTTTTTCTCAACCATGTCCTTTTTCAGTTTTCAGGAAGTCTACCAAAATGGCTTTACCAAGATTCATCAATTGACTATTTTATTTGTCATAATTTCGCTTGAGGAATTATATTTAATGCACTATACTTACAAAGCTTTGGAGAAATCAAAAATTTAACCATCTCTTGCCAATAAAATAAGTTGATATAATATCTAAATTTATAGTATTAAATATAGAAACTGAAGATTGTAGGTTTGAATCAGCAATTTTATATATAGTATTTATAATGCAATATGATTGGAAAAGGCAAATCAAATCAAATATAATATAATTGGGAAAGCTGTGTCCAAATAATGAATCAAATCAGTTTTAGTTTTAGAAAAAGTTTCTGACTTCATTCTTTAGTGAAAAAGTATTAATATGTATTTTAAGAATCATTACTAAAAAGAGAGAAATCAATTATGGGACGTATCTCCTTAAACAGATAACTAACAATTAAATATAGGATTTATAATAATAATGAAGTTTGATCCATTTGAAAATAAATTCAGTTAAACAAAAAATTTGTTTCTGGTAGGTTCTTTATGTATTTATTATTTATTTATGTAATTTTTATGATGCTGTGGGTTGAATCCAGGACCCTGTTCATGGCCTATCACTGAGCCCGTGGTATATAAATTTAAATTACGAAATGTAAGGTGTAGCTGAAGTTAGATTCATGGATGAAACACGGAGTCTGATGAGAAGTTCAGATTCCTTTCATGTATGTTTTCATGTACCTTTAGAACACTGGTATTGGGTTTCTGGGAATACTTAATGACATAGGAAAAAAACTTAAATCTATGAATTTTGTTTGACTACCAAATCAAACTTTTCAATTATATGTTAGGAAACAGAAAAGTATATATATGGCTAAAAAAATTGGTCTGATAATTAGCATGTCATTTTTTTAACAAGTTAGAAAATATGTTATTTATAAAATGAAATAAGGCTTTATTTTAAATGTAAAAATTGTTTTAAGATACAACCTGAGATAACAGGTTTCACTAGTTTAATTGAATGATATACCATGTCTGAAACAAATCACATACAGTTTCTATGTATTAAGTTTTACTGCATTTTTAGTGCTGGAAAATAATCCAGTTGCAATCAGAACGATCAGTGACAGCAATATACACAGCTACTTGTTAGGAGGTGCTTTGTTTTCCATTTTAGTCACTAGTACTGAGAAAAGCTGGAAAATAATGCTTAATTTTAAGCACTCCTGGAAAATAGTTGGTCTGAGGTAGTTCTTCCTTTATGATATGACTGCTATGAACTGAGATGCTATTAAGTTTAAAATACAGCACATCACAAAGACAGGACAATTATAAAGTATTCATTATTTTATATTGGTTAAGTCTTGATAAGACAATATTTTGCCCTGATCCAAATAATAAGTACTATTAAAATTAATTTCACTTATTTTCAAACTCTCTAAAATGTTGCAGCATGAAAATTAAAAATGACACATGTAGCTCACGTTGCATGTATGATACGATAGCCCTGGTCTAGACCTTCTACTGAAAATCTCAAACTTCCTTTAAAACCATGACTACGAAAAAATTGATTTGTCCATTAATCTAGTCCAGTATATCAATATTCTGATGTAATCAGTACCTTTCATTATTGTTTAGCTTTCCATGTTGGCAAATCTCTTCTTGTAAGCTGGACAAAGTAAAAAACAAAATGTTCCACTAAGGCTATTTGAAAAATAATCTGTCCTTAGTACCTAGAAGTTTTCCTAGTATGAAGTTTGGAAGGGTTCTCGGGGATTGCGTGTGAAGCTCTTCAAATGCATCAGAATTCCAGTAGTGATATTTTATTCTGTTGAAGACTTGACGTATTTCATCACATCTGAGAGATTTAATTTAATTCTTTCTTTGTAACATTAAGAAAAAGATACAGTTCTAGAAAAAATATCATGTAAAGCCTTCATGTCCATGAAATCCTGATTTTCTGTTGATCCAAAGAGCTTTTTATGCTTACTTAGTCATACTTTTGTCTTATCCTGATATAACAATGTCCATGACCAAGTTTAAGTCTCTACAGTGACAACTCCTATTCAGCTGCCTCATGGCCCACAGTTGCTGTAAAAATGACATTGATTTCAATGTGCATTGTGATTTCAGAGATATGAAAAATATGCACCTCGGAACTGATTAAATATAGTAAGTAATTTGTCAAGACACATGTATTCTGGAGGGCAGAAAGCCAAAGTCTCATACTTATCAGCATTGGAGTTTGAACACCAATGAAAATAGCTTTTCTATGTATTGTATTTAGAAAAACAGGTGTGGATCTCATTGAACATGTCATCATAATCCTCTTAAGTGACATTGCAGTATCTCTTTCGTTATTTGATGGTTGTCCGAGCACTTCATTTAGTCTTAGCAGCATCGGTGTAACCTTTTTTGACTGGAAGGCCTAAGAGGAGAAGGAACAGAGATTGAGCTGTTTTCCTGCTTTTGTTTTATGTAGAATTTGCAAGGTTTGGCAAGATGTGTCAGAATTCCACTGGAAGTATATTATCTCAAGAATCAGTGAAATAAAAGCTGCTCATCCAGCAATCCTGACACATTCTGATTCTAACGGTATTCTTTTTTTTTCTTTTTATTGAGTTTATTGGTACATTTTAGGTATACAGTACAGCTACATTCATTATTGGGATCTTGTACATTTACATGACAGGTTTCTAATGGTACTCTTGATGACATAAGAGATGTATAAGAGGTAACAAAACAAGAAGTTTTCATAGAAGAAGAATAGGAAAATTGGTGACACGTTTGCTCCCTCATCCCTATAATTAAACATTATATTAAGATATAGATTTACATTTTGAAGATACATGAGCGGGGCTGACTTCACAGCTTGTGACCTGTGCTTTTGCATAGGGCCCAAAGCTTAGAAGACCTCCATTCTTAGTCTACTGAGCCAGTGTCACCATCTCATAATTCTTAAGAAGTTTTGAAAAAAGGGCTTCTTATTTCCATGTTACAATAGGCCTGGAATTATGTAATCAATGTTGTTTTAAAGGAAGCACTCATAAGTATAGCATTCATAAGTGACCATTGCCTCATAAGAGGAGCAGTAGTATTATTCAACAGTAATTTATATTAACTCCTCATTTATTTTTGGCACAACTTGGGACCTCTTCTGCGTCTCTGTTTTCTCATCTGAAAAATGTCTGTGACATTACATTTGCCCTCCTTAATCCCAAATTAGGCTAATTTCCACAAACAAATTAAAATCACATGAAAATATTTTTTAGATTTGTAAAGATGGAGTCACATGTAAAAGACTATCTATCTACACACACACACACATACACATGCACACCACCCCCTGCCCCCCCCACATGTATACTGCCAGGCATGGAGTCTTAGTGACACCCACCTGCTTGGGGCCCTGCGGGCCTAGTTGGGCTCAACAGTGAGATTGCCGTGGCCCACTACCACAGAGCAGGTATTCCGGAAAATCCTAGAGCCAGTAACTCATTTCCTTTGAAATATCAGGAGCCTAAGCAAGGCATCTTGCTGCTGTCAAAGGGTCTGAATCCAGGCACCTGCAAAGAAATTTCAGAAATGAAGTCAGTATGAGAGTTGGGAAGAGGAGATAGGAAGTGAAATGCAGCCTGCAAAGATACTGTGTGCACCTGCAACATAGTCACAACCACTCGTTTAAGGCACCAGGGTTGAGGAGGGAGGAGCTGAGAGTGACAGCCACTTCAGACTGACACAGAAGGCAATTGTATTCAGAGTTGCCACTGTCCAAGGACAGGAAGCTTTTAGCTCAATGTGTGAAGGAGTTCATTTTCCTAATAGTAAAGTGAAAAGCGTACAACTCAAACATTGAGAAAGTCAGAAAATAACAGATGGCTTAAAGCATGCAAGAATGCTCTGGATGCCTTCCGTGGTCCTTCCTGAGAATCTTATGTAAACAACTGAGGGTTTGGGGATAAAATGCAACCCAGAGGTGAAAATAGCACTTGACCAATTTGTGGTCAAATAAGATTACAAAATGCCAGAAGATGATTTACACACCACTTTGGCAATGATTTCTGCTCCTGATGGGAAGCGGTGATCAGCACCTTGTTTTCTTGGACATTTTCCTTTCCTGTTTTGCAGACAAAATGGTCGGTATGTCTCTCTCTATTTCTCACCTCTGAGATTCCCAAGGCATCTACTTAATTTAACCTCATATATCTTCATATCACTAAAGAACATCTGATTTATTTTTATAGTAAGCAAACAGAATGTATAAGTTATGTTTTATCTAAGGAAAGCTTTCGTGGGGCAATTCACTTTATAAAAGTATAAAAGGCCTGGGGATTTAGCTCAGAGTTTCCATGGCCTTCTTTGCAAACACAAGGACCTGAGTTCGATCCCCATTACCAAAAAAAAAAAAAGTATATCAGAAATTTTTTGTGTAAATTAGATTGTGACTAGAACTTATTCGAAGGCTTCATGCTGAATATTTTGAAAAGCCACCAAATTACACATATTTATTTTTAATATGCTGGACATTTAATTTGATTAGTGTAGGGTATGCTTATGGGATTTTGGTGAGAGAGGAAGATAAAATATCTCAAAGAAAATAAATTACACAATGGTGGAATGTAGAAAATTAATTAAAT